GCGTTTTTTCCCCTCCTGAGCAAGAGGCCAGTCCACAAGAAACCGTCCACAAGAGACCCAACCCTGAGACCCCAAGACGTCCATTGATTCTTGATGCGGGGGCGTCACGCCTTCCATCGCAAGACCAGCGAAGCCCAAGAGACCCAGGGCACCGCAGAGGCAAGCAGGGTGTTTCTTGCCACTGCACCGTAGTTGGCCACACGAGGGCGAAGCGGCCAAGCGCTGGCAAGACATGCCGCCGTGCGTCTGGTATCCACCTCTCACCCTGGCAGGCCCTGCGCGTGTGATCACCCAAGGGAGCGTTTTCTTACTCGGCGTTTCGACATTGGGCGGAAAGGGGGGGGAGGGGAGGGTCTGGCTCCAGACCTCTGCTCAATGCGACTGTTTGAAGCAGTGCATCCTTTGGGGGGGGACCCCACCTGCCCGACACAGGCGCCAAAAACAGCCGAGATCTACTCCATGGAGGGAGGGGGAGGGGGTGCGAGGGCCCGCGCCGATCGGCAAAGCAATGAACAAGAAAACGATCACCAACGACTTTCGACGACCCGACTGTCTCGCGTCGCCGGCCCAAGCATCTCTCGACCCCCTACGCCCAGGACTGGCTTCTGCCCCACGCCGTTGTCTACGGCCCCGGGGGCCTGGCAGTGGCCTCCGCACCGAGTGGCGAAAAGCCCCCGCGAGACATTCCCAGACATCGGGACGCCCGAAATGGGTACGGAAAGAATGGGCACAGTGCCCAACCGCAAATGTTGCCCCAAACCAACAGCGGCCGCTGTTGGGCAGGCGGCCTCCTGTCTCGAAGGGACACAGGCCGCGGCGGCGTGGACAGCGAGTCCTGCTCAAAAGGAACAGGAACTGCTGTTGGGCATTGTACCCATTCTTTCCGTGCCCATGCCGGGCGTCCAGATCAACGCGCGGCCCCAGAAAAAACTCCACCCTCTCCCCGGGGCCAACCTTCCACCCAGGCCCGCCTTGGAGACGGCCCCGGGGCCCGTACACGGCCCCCGAGGGCCGAGGTCGAGGAGAAACGCCGGTTGCAAAACATCATATCTTGGGAGCTCTACATGGCAGTTTTTAAAATATTGGATTTTTTAGCATGTAAGACTTTTGATACATGACTAATGTATGAACAATATTATGCATGAACTCATCGTTGTTTTTAATACTAAATCCCTGCATTTTTAGCACATGATCCGCACGCGGAGCATGTATTAAAAGCGGCACTGTGGGCTCGGGAGCGGCCAACAGGGGGGGTCCAGGAGCGGGGGGTGCAAATCATCACCGGCGGCACGTGCGCGGCCAGGGGGGGGGGCGGGGACGTAATGAAACAAGAAGGGGCGCCATGAAATCTGGAAGATATCATGGCCCCCGCCATGATATCCACCAGCCCCCTAGTCATCACCCCCCTCTTGGCCGCCCCCGATAATCTACGGCCTGGGACCGAAACCGACTGACCTGGACCCGCAAAAATGACGGCCGCGACGCCCTCTCGCGAACCGAAAACGGCCAATTCGCTAATGGACGCGTCAGGGTAGGAGGTCATCAACCTCCGATTGGAGCTCTAGGCTCTCGGGCCGCCAGAGGTGGTGCGGGCATCCAGCTTCCAGGTGCGGGCACGCCGTGCAGCAGGCGCCCGCTGCACGGGAGATAGGCGCGCCGACGACGTCGGCCCCACCCCAGGCCTCCGACCCTGGTGTTCCACCAACAACGGGGCCCCTCCTCCTCCTCCTCCTCCTCCTCCTCCTCCTCCTCCTCCTCCTCCTCCTCCTCCTCCTTTCCCCCTCCTCCTCCTCCCCTCCTCCTCCTCCTCCTCCTCCTCCCCCGCCTCCTCCTCCTCCGCCTCCTCCTCCTCCTCCTCCTCCTCCTCCTCTCCTCCTCCTCCTCCTCCTCCTCCTCCTCCTCCTCCTCCTCCTCCTCCTCCTCCTCCCTCCTCCGCCTCCTCCTCCTCCTCTCCTCCTCCTCCTCCTCCGCCTCCTCCTCCTCCTCCTCCTCCTCCTCCTCCTCCTCCTCCTCTTACCCCAAGGCTTTATGTTGTTCCCATCCTACTTAAGGGCCACATCCCAGAAATAATTTCGAGCACCCGAAGAAGTGTCAAAAGAGTGTCGAAACAGGGTCGAAACAGTGTCGGGCGAGTGTCTCCCAGGGCTCGACACGTGAAAACCCTTGAGTTTCGGTACTTTTTCTTGGCGCTCGAAATTCTTTCTGGTGGTGATCAAGGCTCAAGTAGGTTGGAGCATCATAACCCAAGACCGATTTGCTCGTCGCGTCTGCGAGGAGGATACGGTGGGGGCATTTGTGTTGTTTCTCACCTCGAGGGCGCAGCACACACCCAATGAATAGAATTCACGACGCCGCCGACGGCGACGGCGGCACGCGACGACGACGACGACGACGACGACGACGACGGGAGCACGGACGACCCCACGGGGAGGAAAACCTTCGATAAGGAATCCCGGGTCTGGGAGCCAGTGGAAAACCAGTCGTGGGTCGGGCACGGACATCACCGCCGCCCTCACTGGATAATAAAGAATCCTCCAGGGTCGCAGGCCTCCTGGGACTATTACTCAACAAACGCCCCCACCGTACCCCAAGATTGATTTGTCCGTCGCACCTACGAGAAGAATGCGTGGAACGGGTGCAGATCTACGAGCATCCGACGCTTATGCCGTAGATTCGACGAACAAACCAAGCTTGGGGTGAATCAAGTCTGCAGTCGATATACGAGCATCCGACGCATGCTTGTCGCAGATTCGGCGAACACATCAGTGTTTCAGTGCACCGGCCTTGCAGACGGGCTGCAGCGGATTCCTGCGTGGATTTCTGCATGGATGTTTCCCCGAAGCGGCGAGCGAAAAACTAAGTGAATTTCGCGTGGGTTCTTTTTGGTCTTCACTCCTGGCCAAAAAAAACCGCACGAAACGCGCCTCGAAATCCGGAACGAAATTCTCCAGGACACCCCAGGCCCACCCTGTCGTTCTCCACACGAGATTCGCTCTGCGATGTTGGCGCCATGACAATCCTGCAGTCGATCTACGAGCATCCGACGTATGCTTTTCGCAGATTCGGCGAGGCGGGGATTTATCCATATCCACCGCCCGGGAACCGACGTCCAGGTGCCCCAGCGGGCTGTGGATGTGGATATATTTCGGCCCCCCAGGGGCCTGAATGTGTCCACATCCACCGCCTGCCGAGGCTCCGAAAACTGACCCTCCGGGCGGTGGATATGGATAAACCCCCGCCTCGGAGCTTCGGCGAGCACATCAATCCTGGGGCAGACCAATCCTGCAGTCACTCTCCTACCCGAGACATCCCACGGCGCGATGCTCTCCATGCGCGGCCCCAGGCGCCCCGACCCCTTTCCCGGGGCAAGTGTTTCGCCCCGGACTCCCTTTTGACGTCAGAGGCTTGGACATGGACACCAGCACCAACACGGGGAGTTACCTCCACAGGGGGAAGATGATCCCAGATTTCGGCGTCGGCGGCAATGGTTCGGTCACCTTGGAAGCCAGAATATGAATACCATCACCGATCTTGCTGTTGGTGCCAACCTCCAGGCCTCCGAGTCATGACGGCCCTGGCGCCCTGAAGCGGCCCCCAGGGGTCGACAGCGAGGACAAAGCCGCCGGAAGGAGAAGATCAAACCGTCGAGGCGCCAGGCCGCTACTCCCCGGACCTCTCTCTCTCTCTCTCTCTCTCTCTCCCGAAGTGCGCTCTGGCAAGAATTGCGGGGCGAATCCAGCCGAGGAGTCGAGGGCGCCCCAGGAGGCCCAGAAAGGAAAGAGACAAGGCAAGGTTAGCTAGCGGCATCAACACTCGGCGGCGACGATCAGGACGACTAGCCCAGGGGCGGGCATTGCGCGGATTCGCGGAGGAGCCTCGCCGAAGACATGGACCATCGACGCCCTTGGACACACGTGGCCGATTCCGGAAACCCTGAGCCCACAAACGCTGTCAGCTCTCGGAGGCGCATCGGTTACTTCCAGCACGCAAGACACTGCCCCCTCTCGTCCACAGCTCTGGAGGCCTCGTGTTGGGCTAGTAACACTACCGACCGCGCCTAAACAGATCTGGCAACGGCGCGATCGAGCAGTTCGATCGGAGCCCCAGAAATGCACGAGACGGAACGCGGCCACTAGGAGGGACCAGGGGAGCCCTGGAGCGCCCTGAAGCGCCTCGGCCCCCGCCTCGCGCACCCCATCCTCTGAGGGGGTGGCACTGCGAGGAGGGCCCCACGAGCCCCTCTAGGCCCAGGGGGGGCCGACGGCCACAAAACGAGCCAGCGAACCCAGCAGAAAAAGTTACGCGCCACCCCCTCGAGATGAGAGAGTTTGTTTTGTTAACACCGTCTGGGAGCTACTGGGCCTTCTCAAGGCCCTCACTTCTCCTGACGCTTGGCCCTGCCCTTGCCCTTCACCTCCTTGAAGGCCAGCTTCTCTACTTGTTTCGCCGCCTGGCTGCGCGGCGCCGCGTCTCTCTCGAACAGCAGCCCCACCGACTTCCCCGCGCCGTTGCCCCGCAGCTGCTCGAAGGCCTGGCGGGGCATGCGGCGGTGCATGACGGCGAAAATCCACTGCTTCACTTCGTTGCCGTCCGCGTCCTCTGTGGCGATCACGAAGCAGCGTGTCGCGTGGAAGGTCGTGTTGCGGCCCTGTATCTCGCCTCCCCACTCGGTGATGAGCTTCACTGCTTGGAGCGTGGCCTCGGGTTCTGGACCTTGAGCGATGGCGGCCTTGAGCGCCTCCTCGTTGCCTTCCAAGGCCTCCGACACGCGAATGAGCAACATCTCCATCAGAGCATCGGGGCGCTTGCCCCGCGGGTGGCCCTTGTAGTCGCCCGTCTCCTTGCCCCTCGCCCCCTTGCCCGCCCGGCTGTATTTGTCGACGCCCTCCTCGAGGGCGGCGAGCTGGAGCTCCGCGTCGGCGCGCTGTGTGAGGACCACGTTCACGTCGCGCCTCTGGCTGCGCAGGTCGTCCTCGTGCTGCAGTACCAGCTGGGCCATCGCCATGGTCAGCTGGCGGCGGGGGCCCTCCATCGGGGCCTCGTCCTGCACCTTCTTCTCATCGGCCACCCCCGCGCCCCTCTTCTTGCTGACCACCTCCGACAGCGGGGCGAACATCGCGGTGAGTGCTGGGGGCCAGAGGAGGCTGCGGAACTGGATGGGACACTTGAGCCCAGCAGCTTTCAGGACTGGACACCGTGGAACCTCGATATGTCGAAGAAGCGCATCTTTCCCGGTGAACTCCTGCTGGCAGTGTGGGCAAACAATATTATCAAGGCACACTTGAGGAAGAGACAGACGGTTGGCTACGATACCATGTTTCTGACGCCGATGGCTGCCGAGGCCCTTGGGATCTCTGCACCTAAATCCGCATTCTGTGCACAGGGGCATCTCGCACCTAGTACCATCAGGGCGTTCCTCCCCAGCAGGCCCAAGATCGCAATCCGCACCAAAGGAAAGAACAGCACGAAGGTCACGCTCCTCGAGTCCGCAGAACCAGGTCAACCAAGATTTCGATATCCTTGGTTCTTGTTCAGGGGCTTCGGGGGCCCCAGCACGGCGGGCAGCAGAGAGTGATGACCAGAGCGCCTGCAGACCCTGAAGCAACAGCGAAATCCGCCCCGCGGGTTTACTGGGGCCCACTCTCCTCTCGAAGCACAGCCGTCCAAACAAGACCGCCCCCACCGCTTTCGCGGGGTCATACTCTGGTTCCTGAGGGGCAAGTCCAGGAGATATCACTCTCTGCCACCAACGCAACCTTCGGAACAACAGCGTCGATGTGACGGAGTACACGTTGGCCTTCCTTCGGGTCGCCTCGTTCGGAACATCTCGGACGCGTGCAGGGGAACGGAGCAGGTGTCGGAGCTTCTTGGTTTGCCATCGCTCTAACCTCTGGAGTTCGGTCTGGGTAAGCATCGCAATTTCCATGGCATAGAGGGCAACAGAGCGAACCAAAGAGGCCCACAATCTAATCTTGAGTCGGTAGCTGATGCCCCCCTTGAAGGCCCTTTCGGAGAGGCGTCCGTGGGCAGCGCTAGCCCCCAGCAGGCGTCGCCTAAGCTCCTCGGACATCGAGCCATCATCTCGAGCGCGGACTCCCAGATACTTAACCGACTTCTGATCGTGAACCTTGATCGCGCGGCCCTCGGAGTCTTTCATGGCCACACCCGTGGATTGCTTAATGATATCTTTGCGCAACGTTTCACAACCCGTCCCCGACGAGACCATCAACACCTCAAATTTGGGCACTTTCATCGTCATCCCACCGGCCTCGATCACCGACTTCACGAACTGGAGGTAGTCCGAAACGCGATCGAAGCCCTCGAACATAGCAACACCGATAAGGCCATCGACGAACTTCACCTGCGAAACGTCCTCCTCGATAGTCTCCCCCCCTCCTCCAATACCGCTTGGCCCGTGATGTTCGTCATCGTCGGGTCCGAGAAAACTGAGACTCCGTCGAAGCCGTGGGTCACCTGCTGATTCGAAATCTCCTGAGCGATGACATCGTAGATGGCGACAAACAGCGACGGGCCCCCCACGCTACCCTGGCGGACCCCACGACGCACCAGAAGGGTTTTGCACGGCTGATTCGTTTTGATGTCCCTCAGGATATAGCACGCGCCCTTGCGGAGGGCCTCAAGCGTGAGCCGAACGCCCCTAGACATCGCCAACTGATCGAGGGAATCCCAGATTCTGTCACGAGACAAGAGATCGAATGCTTTTTCAAGGTCGACAAGGGCTGCCACCAGCACAGCAGCTGGGTAGTTCGTGCGGCTCCTGCAAACACGGAAGCGGCGCATGATCTCATCGACGATCACGATAGCGCCTCGCGTGGACCGTTTGGGAAGGGCCCCAAACTGTGCACAGGACAGGCGGCCTGCACAATGGCGAAGCTCTCGCATGCACACAACGTTGGCGAAACCCTTGCCCATGTGGTTGATGAGGTTGATGGTGCGGTAATGGTGCGTGGCATTTCGTCAGTCCCCTTTAGGCTTGCGAATCGATACGACCCCCCATCCTCGAAGCGCTGAGCAACTTGTTTCGCCTGATGGCATGCTCGGAAAACCTTGGCGAGGGGGCCTGCGACGCGCTCGAGGCACAGCTTCCATAGCTCAGCCACGGCACCATCCGAGTGAGGTCTCCGATCACTGTGGTCGATGTCGTTGGGGTCGGACCACTTCAGCGTCGGAGCAGCCTTGAAGTTCGGGAGCTTCATGATGGCCCTCGCGGTGCTGGACTCCGTGATCTCCGTAGATGGATCGTCCAAGTCCGCAAGCGGGGATGTAGGCATCAGGGGTGGAATAACCTCGGCAGCACAGAAAGTGGAGCACATAGCCTTAGCCCCCACAGCCATGTCCTCATTATGATCAAAGCATACCGTGCCTGTCTCTGGGTTGAACACCGTCACCGTTGGCAACGTAGGTTTAAGTGCCAGGCGACGTATGATGGTATAACTCCGGCGGGTGCCCTGATGGCGATCCGCAACCTCAGCTTGGGTCACCAGCTCGGCCGTCAGCTGGCGCTTGTGCGATCGAACTGCTTGCTCCGCAACTTTGGCTGCGCACGAGCAACGTTGGTAAAGCGACTTGTAGAGCCAACTGTCTGGGATTGCCCTGACCATCAAGCGCTGGTAGTACTGCTTCTTGGCGATGACCTGCAGGATGTCCTCTGGGAGAGCAGGGCGCCCCTGGTCTGACGGCTGTGTCGAGTACATGATCACGGCGGCGTCAACCAGGGCGCTCTCAAGGGTGTTGAAATAGGCAAAGGTGTCTGGGTAGCACCGTCCAGGTCCGCAGATGTGTTGCCAGTCTTCAGCGAGTCGGAGCTCATCGACCCTCTGGGCAACTGCATCCTGAAGATGGGCAACTCGAGATGGAATGGGGGCTGCTGGAGCGTCCGACGTCTGCTTGCGTGCGCTGCTGAGAATCTTCAGATCCTGCATGATGAGAGCACGGTTCCACCTCATAGTTTCTTTCTTCGGTGTCCGCCTGCACCGCAATCCCGCATCTATTTTTATATATATATATATATATATATAGATATTCGCCTCCACTGGGCGATGGTCACGATACCCCCCAAGGCTCACTGGTAGGTCCCTTAGCGGGTAGCTGCGATGGCCGTACCCCTCCTGCATGCGTACGCAGATGTAGTCAATTGGTGACCAGCTCCGTCCACCCGTGTGAACCCACGTAGAGTTGAAGCGAGTCGCCTTACCAAACGTACTGAGAGCCATCAATCCAAGATTTTGAAGCACGGAGAGAAATTTTGCACCAGTTTGATTCGTTCTGCTCTGGGTCCCCCGCGAACCTGCAAATCCTATGTTGGGCAGCGATGGAGCAATCGAGGCATTCGCATCGAGGCACCAGACCAGCGCCGCGCGCCTTGGGATACTTGATATCGTGGCCGCGCACTGTTGCCAGAAAACGTCCTGGACCCTGTACTGTACAGCTGGGTCTGGCGTCGGCTGCCCATGCGGCGGTTTCGGTGGCTTATTGGTCCACGAGTACCCGTTGAGAACGTACAAATCACGGGGACGCGGGCCATCACGTTTGAGTCGTACACCCTGAAGGCGACCAGGGATCCACTCATGAACACACCTTATCTCGTCCCTCCCAAAGAAGCGTCGGTTGACTGCAATGAGACATCCATCCCTTGCCCTAGGCGAGGTCCTCGCCGTCGGAAGGATATGATACCCTTCACATTGCCATGCTATACTCAGTGTCATGAGAGTGCTTTGAAAACAGCATATCGCAACTTGTTTTTCTCGAGCGAGGCGAAGAAGCTCACTAAGACGGTCGGCGACGACTAGGGACTCCGTGCTGTAGCCCCAAACCGAGATAGTCTGTGTCTTACTCAGAAATCTCGATGTCCTCAGGCCCGAAGGGGCCGCTGGGGACGGGGTGGCGGAGGGTTCGGCACGAACATGAGCTGCAGCCATGCCAGCCGCCGAAGCGCGAGTATAGTGTTGTCCACGGTACCAGCACGCTCCAGTCACTGCCACAAGCCTCAGTGCACGTCGAAGGGCTCTCTTGTTCCCCATACACCCTAGCTCCCACGATCTGGCAGTATTTGCAGACTGTCGATGTGGTCCAGCACGGCTGGGCTACCGTGCAGCGCTCACCTCGCAGGCACCAGCGCCGATGCCCTGGCCAGCTCTTTCAGCAAGAGGCAGCAGGCAACGCCATGGCCAGGGGGGACTGAAATGGCCTGGTGGGGACTTGCGACCCCACGCCCGCCTGTGCGAGCAGCGTCCTTGAGCCGCCGAGGCTTTCGTTTACTTCCGCCGCCTTCCTTCCGCCGACCCTCCGCCGACCCTCCGCCGCGGAAGAGATGGCAACTCATTCGATCCTCGTAGGCAAGTCCCTGTTTGGTTGTGGATGCAATGACAGTGGACACCCTACCCATCCTATCATTGAATTAAAAATGTGTTTAAAATATCGGACATGTTTTAATAATTGATAACACATGCCTGTATATGTTTAAACCATGATTAAAACATCCATTAGACATCTGGAAAGTATTTGGCAACATGCTTTCTCTCCATTGATCGTCGTCCACACCTGTTTGGAGCGCCCCGTGTATGGCTCCCCCATGGGCTGCTCGCCCCATGTCGTCGCCTGCTGTGCACCCGCCGACGGCCGTCGGACACCTGGGAGGAGGAGGAGGAGGAGGAGGAGGAGGAGGAGGAGGAGGAGGAGGAGGAGGAGGAGGGGGAGGGGGAGGAGGAGGAGGAGGAGGAGGAGGAGGAGGAGGAGGAGGAGGAGGAGAGGAGGAGGGAGGAGGAGGGGGAGGAGGAGGGGGGATGAGGAGGAGGAGGAGGAGGAGGAGGAGGTAGGAGGAGGAGGAGAGGAGGAGGAGAGAGGAGGAGGAGGAGGGAGGAGGGAGAGGAGGAGGAGGAGGAGGAGGAGGAGGGAGGAGAGGAGGAGGAGGAGGAGGAGAGGAGGAGGAGAGGAGGAAGGAGAGGAGGAGAAGAGGAGGAGGGGAGGGGGGGAGCGGAGGAGGAGGAGGAGGAGGAGGAGGAGGAAGAGAGGAGGAGGAGGGGGAGGATCAGGAGGAACAGGAGGAACAGGAGGAGGAGGAGGAGGAGGAGGCCTGGTCCCCCGGCGGGCAATGGCTCGGTGAGCAGCGGCCCGCGGGGCCCCGCTAGGGCGAAGCGCGCTGGCGGCGGCGCCGGCGGCGCACGGCCAATCGGCGAGGTCGCGCCAGCTCCAGCCCCCTGGCGTCGGCGCGGGGGGCTGCGCTGGCAGCCACACCTGCGGGGGATGGGGAGGGGGAGGAGGAGGAGGAGGAGGAGGAGGAGGAGGAGGAGGACAAGTGTAAACCCAAGACTCATCATCGATGTTGAAATACGCCCGTCCAAGATCCCTCTTCATAGGCCCCTACGAAGGTTCATCTCCATTGAGGGAATTGCCCCGTTGGGGGACAACCGTGCGAACATCTTGAAACGTGCCAAAACACTGTTATGATGACTTTAACGCCACGAATTGATATAATTTCTACGTCTTGGCGATCCTGGAACTTCAACACCGCGAACCAACGCAACTGCTGCACCCTGACAATCCTGAACCGCTGCAAAGCACTATTTCTGGTATGGTAACCATGAGTACCAACGAAACTCTTGCACATGTTGAAAACACATGTGCGCGGCGATGAGGCGAGAGCCACCTTTGGAAAACGAACCGCTCTCGATCCGTGAAACTCTTGCAATGCTGTTTAACGAATGCGCGCCTCGCTAAGGCGAGATCCACATGTTGAAAACCACCCGCCCTCAATCCGTGAAACTCTGGCAACTGTATAAAACAAATACGCGCGGCGCTTAGGCGAGAGCCAGCCCGCTCTGAATCTCTGTAACTTTTACACATATTCAAAACAAATGTGCGCGGCGCTAAGGCGAGAGCCACATTTTGAAAACGAACCGCTCTCGACCCGTGAAACTCTTGTAATGTTGTTAGCGAATACGCGCGGCGCTAAGGGGGCCCCAACGAGGGCCCATATGACTGCGCTCGCATGGCACCACCGCACCCATGTCGGCACACCCCTCACACGCTCCGTGGCCCCATAGGGAGCTCCACCGAAGGCCGCAGGGTCTGCGCTCGCATGGCACCACCGCACCGATTTCGGCGGACCCCTCACATGTTTCGTGGCACCGTAGGGAGCTCCACCAAGGGCCCCAGAGGCTGCGCTCGCATGGCACCACCAAGCCAATTTCGGCACCCCTCCCACGCTCCGTGGCCACACAGGGAGCTCCACCGACGGTCCGTATGACTGCGCTCGCATGGCACCACCCCACCCATGTCGGCACACCCCTCACACGCTCCGTGGCCCCATTGGGAGCTCCAACGAGGGCCCCAATGTCTGCGCTCGCATGGCACCACCGCGCCCATTTCGACGCACCCCTCACACGTTTCGTGGCCCCAAATGGGAGCCCCACCGAAGGCCCAAATGGCTACGCTCGCATGACACCACCGCACCCATTTCGGCACACCGCTCACATGTTTCGTGGCCCATTAAGGGGCTTCCACCGAGGGCCCCAGTGGCTGCGCTCGCGTGGCACCACCGCGCCCATGCCAACACACCCTCGCACGCATCGTTGCCCCACACGGAATTCCACCATAGGCCCCCGTGGCTGCGCTCGCACTGCCGCACCCATTTCGGCACTCTCCTCACACGCGTTCGCACGCGCCCAACGCGCCCATTCCGGTACATCCCTCACATGTTTCGTGTCGTGGCCCCATCGGGAAGAACCACGCGCGCTTCGCGCGCGCTTAGGTTCTAGCCGATTCCGAAGACGGTGTCAATTTCCATGGGACCTTTTCCATGTGGTCTTCCGGGTTCCTCCTTTTCACCAATGCGTGATTTTCGGGCAGATACTGAGAAGTTCAAGGAAGGGTTTGGCCTGTAGCGTACCAGCGACGACCGACGACGACGACGACGACGACGACGACGACGACGACGACGACGACGACGACGACGACGACGACGACGACGGACCACCGACGATCAGCAGCATTGTCACCTGGTCCACGTGTGCGGGAGAGGCGTTTCTGGAGCGTCTTGCAGGCGTCATGGGGGCGTCCTCGGGCCTCGACATTGAGTGGGCGGGTCGGGGGGTGCAGCCAGGGCCACGTGTTCTGAAGGGCTGTTCCGGAGCTTGAAGGACGAACGGCGTCTGGCAGGCTTCTGAGGGTCTGTGTAGAGGCCTCCTGCGAGCTCGGTGGGGGTTTCTCGGGAGCTTCTCGGGTCTTTCTGGAGCCCTTTTGGGGGCTTCTTGGGGCGTCGTGGAGGCCTTCTGGGAGTCTCTTGGGGCCTCCTGGGGGCCTCTTGGGGCAGAGGGCGCCTCTGTTCGGGCATTTCGGGGGCTCTCTGGAGCTTCATGGGGATATCTTGGGCCAGCTTGGGAGCCTGGGGGTCTGGGGCCCCTTCTGGACCCTCTTGGAGCCCTCAAGGCCCCCCCGGCCCCCCATGCGAACCAGAGGTCGCAGTTCTGGGCCCATCCCGCCACCGTTTCTGGGTTGTGGGTTAGAGGCGTCTCGGATGTTCGCTGGGATGATACCGTGGGATGCCTCTCGGGGGGCCGTTTGGAAGCAGGTTTGAAGCCTCCACGGGGGCGTTGTGGAGCTTGTCGAACCTCTCTTAGGCATCTTTGGGGCCTCTTTGGAGCCTCTTGGAGCCACTTGGGGGCCTCTCGGGGCCTCCTGGGGGCCTCTGGGAGCGGGAAGCTCGGAAAGGTCGGTTCGCGTTCCCTCTCTTGGGCCCATCTTCGAGCCGTCTTCAGGCCCTCTTCAGGCCCTCTTGGGCCGTCTTGGGGGCCTCTTGGGCCGATCATGCGGCCCTCTTGGGCCGTCTTGGGGGCCTCTTGAGGCGACGATGGAAGCTTCTTGGGCAGTCTTGGAGTGTCGGCCGCTCGAAAACGTGAGAAAGCAAAAATATGGGAAAACAAAACGAAATCAATGATTTGGGCGTCTTGGGGCTCTCTTGGAGGTCCTCGCGGAGCGATCTTGGGGCCTCGTGGGGGCCAATTGGGCCGATCATGGGGCCGTCTTGGGCGGCTTGGAGCGCTCTTGGGCCGTCTTGGCGGCTTCTTGCCGTCTCCAGAACCCCAGTTGGACGCCTCGGGGAAGCGGAAAAAGTTCCGGGACTCCGCAAAACGGGCCCCTGGATGCCTAAGGAACTTAAGGTAAGTAAAGCTGGCAAGTTGAATGTAGTTCGGTGATGCTTGTTGAAGTTAGCGGGGAAGGTAGGGGAAGTTGGAGGGGGGGTCATATTCCCAACCATCCTGTGGTGTTGGGTCCTCGGTTTGAAGAGACAGCGCCCAGCGTCTCCTCCGTCCTTCCTCATCCCCCTTCCCCCCTCCTCCCCCTGAGGGGGCCCGTTCCGCGGCATCGCGACTAGGGGAGGGCTCGGGATTAGCGCTTGCGCTTGATGTGTACACATACTGCGATCGATACACAGAGATATACACATGTATGTATGTATGTATGTATGTATGTATGTATGTATGTATGTATGTATGTGTATGTATGTATGTATGTATGTATGTATGTATGTATGTATGTATGTATGTATGTATGTATGTATGTATGTATGTATGTATGTATGTATGTATGTATGTATGTATGTATTTATCTATCTATGTATGAATGTATATATGTCTGTCTGTCTGTCTGTCTGTCTGTCTGTCTGTCTGTCTGTCTGTCTGTCTGTCTTTGTATGTCTGCATGTATGCATGTATGTGTTTGCACATATGTGTATGTAGATGCATAAACGCGGAATCGCCGCCAGCTCGGAAACGGGAGTTGCGATAATGTCTGAAGCGAAGCGGCCCAGAACACCTGATTTTGGTTGAACATGTCCCTGTGCGCCGCTCCCTCGGCCAAACGGGAATTCAATGAAAGCAGGAGTCCTGTCCTGTCAAAACAACTGTTCGTTCGGGGAACCAACGACCCCGAAAACAACCCGGACATCGCATGCGCCCCCACTGGAGCCCCACACAACCTCAGGACAAGGCCTCTGGGAGCCAAGAGTTGCAAGCTTTCTCCAGCGTAACAAGCCACATAACCTCTCCCGCGGCAGCTCGGATCCCACAATTGCGAGGACGTCTCAGGCGGAACGGCCCGGACCACGTCACAAAAAACAGCTCGGCGAAACAATATGGAGGACATCTCCAACGAACCCCCCCTTCCAAAGAGAGGGGAAGGGGGGGTAGCTGGCGAAGTCCCCCCCCACCCCCTTGCAAAGGGGAGCCTGGGCTAACCTTCCGCTCCGAAAAGGAGGGGGGGAGGTAGCTTGGAAGTCCCCCCCCCCGTGCGATTCACCCCCTCTGGCGCGCAAAGGGAGGAGGGGGGGAGCTTCGGAAGCCCCCCCCCTTGGAAAGGGGAGCCCCAGCTTACCACGGGCAGAACAACGGAAGGGGGGAGGGGGGTAGCTTCGGAGGCACCGCCCCTTTCCGAAGGGAGGGGCGGGGTAGCGTTAAGCTGGGGCCCCCCTTTTCTGATTCCCGGCCCTGCGGGCGCGCTCCTTCGGAGTTAAGAACAGCATGC